TTAGGGTTGCATTTTAATTTATTTTTAAGGAAAATGTATTTTGAAATAATGATTTTTTTTTAGACGGAAAAATTTTAAGTTTACGTGTAATATTATTTTTATCAGAAAATGTGTAATTAAAAAGAGAAAAAAAATGCATTTTAAATTATATGAAAGCCAAACATATATTAAATCAATCGTTGTTAAAACAAGGTGTCATATTAGACTACTCGTCAATGGTTGACCCTAGAGTAGTTCAATCAAGCATGAATAACTATACTTTTACTAAATAATATGAATAAATGTAAACTAAATATTTTTTTCTATTTTTAGAAGAAAAATTATATTGAAATAAAAGCACCCATTTTTATCTCAAAGATAAATAAACCAGAAGGCAAATATATAAAAGAAAAACCCGAAACGGTTCCACTGAATTGGCGAAATCTTCTAATAAATATCTCATTCGCTGGAACTAAAAATGACCGTTACAAACATAAAATCCCCGGCAACGGATAGTTTCTTTTTAAAAGGGAAAAAAATATTTCCTTATTAAGAACCAAATCACCAGAGTTTTCTTCATTCATTCAATAATCAATATACAATCGCAAAATCTCTTATTCTGCCCTCTAATTCTTACTCCAACTCATTATTCAAATCTGTGTATATTCTTGTGGGATTTTTGTTTTGGGTGTTGCCAATTCCTTGGAGAACTGTTTGTCCGAAAGTTAAATTCTTTTGTTGATTTTATTGATATTGGGAAATGGATCTTGGATGTATTGATATGGGTTGCATCGAGAAGCAAAGAAAGGAGACTTGTCTTGACAAAGAGAACAGTCCAAAGGAGTCTGGGATGTCTTCTTCCAAGCCAGGGAAGGTACTCTTTCTTGGTTTCTTGAAATGAATTCTGTATTTCATTCCAATTTTTCTCAATGCTTTATTGATGATGTTTTAGGTTTTCGATGTAGCATTGGGAGTTAATTATATGTAATTTGTGAGTTTTACGCTTGAAATTATGTTTTACTTTCAAGATTTAGAAAATGGCCAGCAAGACTAGTGTTATTATAGCCCTGAGGTATAAGAAATGGGAATTCCCGATTCATTGATTATTCTTACCATCCCAACAGAACTTGTATGTTAGACCAGCGGGCAAGGAGCACGTCTTGCACAGTTTATTTGATTCTTTACTTCAAAAGCGGACTATATTCATAACTCGATTTACTGAAAAGTTTTATTTGGTTTTGTGTTAATTTGAAGTTTAATGGCGTATATATACAAGTATGCATACAAGTTATTAATCCGAAAAAGTTGTGTACTAATCGCTCAAATAGATATATAGATTGGCAGTGCATTTATAAGTAGAGCTTTTCAACTTGTTTGTAAAGATGAATGTTGAATGGTGTATTTGTAATGTTGCTTTTTATTCTTGAAACAGATTGAATTTATTAGTTTCCATGCTGAATTTGGTTTTCTTTTATTGCTCTCGTAACTATGATATTCTCATCAAGGATTAGCTTAAATTTTCTTCTGTCTGTCTTTTTCATTTTTGTTGCTTCTGTATAATGCAGAACAAGGGATCAAAAGATGTTCTCCAGTCAAGTTTGAGTGCTTTAAACAAACTTACATCACAAATTACAAAGCCTCCACATCGGAGAACTTCACCTCTTAATTGGTTCCCGCGAAAAAAGGTGGATTCCTATTTGAATAGGAAAATAAAATCGCTACAGGTAGTGCTATCTATGCATGCTTTTCTTTTGCCAACAAGGGTTTCGCTTTACCAAAAGGTTTGACACTTGCACATAATGCAGGAAGTAGATGGAATGAATTCAACTCTTGATGAGACTCTTGGGGATTCAAATCCACATTACTCCAGAGTTCTGAGAGAAAAAATTGCAGTAAGAGAAGCTGCAGAGAAAGTAATGGAAGCTCAAAAGGCTGCAAAGGTGGAAGCATCTTGGTGTCGTATACTTAAAGCAGCCAGGTACTTGCATTCTTTTGGACTAAAAGTTTGATTGAGATATATTGTTTTTCTTTAACAGTAGACTTAATCTCTCTTTAATAGGATTGAAAGAAAAGATGCAGAAGCAGAGCTGTCAAAAGCGGAAAAATCTGCAGCTGAAGCTTTTGAAGCTGCAACAGCCATTGGTGTAATCATGAATGATATACCAGAACATGCACAAAAATGTTACAAAATGGAAACCATAAAAGGAGAAGAACCTACCACTCATACAATATCGGCAAGTTTTGAAACTGCATTTGAGGTGGATAAACAAGTAGCTGCTGCAGTTAAAGCAGCTTTTATTAAGCTAGCAAATTGCCCTTCAATAAACAGAGGCGAATTTAGAGAGTTGTTGTGCAAAGTTAGTGAGACCCCAGATACTGGTGAAAATTATCATGAATTGTCAGACTCTTCTACAGGAT